GCTGTTCTGATCCAAGCCAGCAGGCTGCTGGCCTTCTTGGCCACCTGAGCACACTGCTGGCTCACGTTCAGCCAGCTGTCAACCACACTCCCAGATCCTTTTCTGCCACACAGCTCTCCAGTCACTCTGCCCCAAGCCTACAGCTTGGGGTGGCTGTGACCAAAGCGCAGAACCCAGCACTTGGCCTTGTTGAACCTCCTACAGTTGCTCTCAGCCTATCGATCCAGCCCATCCAGATCCCTTTGTAGAGCTTTCCTACCCTCAAGCAATTCAACTCTCTGCCCCAGTTTGGTGTCATCTGCACATCTGCTGAGGGTGCACTCAGTCCCCTCATCCAGATCATCGACAAGGACATTAAAGACGACCGGCCCCAACAGTGATCCTTGGGGAACACCACTCATGACCGGTCGCCAGCAGGATTTAACTCCATTCGCCACCACTCTCTGGGCCTGGCCATCCAGCCAGTTCTTCACCCAGCAAAGAGTCCACCTGTCTAAGCCCTGAGGTGCCAGCTTCTCCAGGAGAAGGCAGTGGGAGAGTGTGTCAAAGGCCTTACTGAAGTCCAAGGAGACCACATCCACAGTCTTTCCCTCATCCATCAGGCAGGTCACCTGGTCCTAGAAGGAGATCATGTTGGTGAGATCTGATCCTGAGCTTGTACCTGTGTATATATGCACAGATGTATACATAACAGAAAGAGAGATGGCAAGTGAAGTGTGAACTTTTGAAGTGCCTCATGTGACTTCAGCCTGTCCCAGGAATACAAGTTAAATCATCCGTCTAGCAAATGCCCCTCTTGCCTTTGTGCCAGACACAAGAAACTCTAGAAAAAGAGAAGGAAGGCCAATTATATCTACCCTTTGACAGCTCCAAACTACTGACCACTCTAATACTATATGCAATACTCCAATTTACAAAGCATTAGAAATTCAATCTTGTAAGTGGTTATGTAAGTAAAAATACTAGATTCTGAATGAATACTACCTGTTGCCTGCTGATAAGGCTATTCCAATAATGGACTTCCCTCATTTTAAATAGCAGGAGTCGCCAGGAAAAAAGCCTGGTGTGTTGGCTTTAACATAACAGTGGCATGTACGTCTGCAGAACAGGAATCTAGAGCTGATAAAATGCTCTGAGGAAAATCAATCTATTCATATATATGACATTTCTCTGTACTGATCACAAAGATGCCAGGACTTTGCCTGTATACTTTTGTATCAAAGTATTAATTTAAATGTTGTAGCTATAGCATCATGATTGGATAGCCTGGAAAAGTTACAAGTCTGAAGCAATAACAGATGGACCATCACCATTCCCTAACCTTTTCTCTGTTTTGTTGTCTCTTTTGCAATTTCAACCTCATTAAAAAGCAGGAAGTAGTTGTTATGGATTACTATGTTTATTCCACTGAGGACCAGCATTACTACAAAACTGACTCTCAGCGAGAGTTCCCAGAATCATTAACTTGGGTAATTACTAAATAGTTTGAAATTTTCATTTTTTTCCATGAAAAAATATTGTAGTGGTTTCCGAAGACTTTTTAAGAATGGCTGTAGAAATTGTGAAACTGTGCACAGACATTTGCCTAACCACTTCAAACTACATTTCCTGCTAGGAGATCTATTTACTTTTTAAAACATATTATTACCTGTTCTTCCAGTATTTTCAAATCCTTACTCATTCGTATATACTGACAGATGTGATCATTATACACTTGAGTCACACACAACAGCCTTATGTCTGTTTAAACTAAATCATTTCCAGTAGTTTAGCAATTCTTGAATAACACACATCCAGCACTATACGTATTATATGCACACACATACACACACACCCCCCTTGAGAGTACGCCGTTATCTTATGAACCTACCAGCCTTTGGATTTCAATCCTACGCTCCGAATTATAACACCAGAGAGTACTGTGAATCCAAATCTCTATTAGCAGAACAAAAACATACAGCTCTAGAAATTACAATCACTATCCAAATGCATATTGGGAACAGAACTCACAGAGAGTCCTAAAAATACTGTTTTATACAATTTTGAATGAAGAAGAATGTCCATTATGGACAAATAATTTAGGGTTCTTAAACCTTTTTGATGACACTAATTACACAATTAACTCACCAGCTCTTCAGAAAGCAATAAAATTTTCCAGCAAACTGTGAATTTAATAGATCAGTAACACTCAGCCACTAGGCAAAAAACATACATCATGTTATTTTCCAATACCAGCTTTTACTGTTGATTGAAAGCAATATTGTTCTGGTAGGTTTTTCCTGATGGAAAGGTGGGGGCCACATTCCAGAGATCAGGCACAAAACAAGCAGTCTCAGACATCTCCACTAGGTGGGAAAACGCACGGGTACACTACACAAGCATTCCTCCTGTCAGATATTTTAGAATATTAGTCACTATTTCCAATAGGAGAAAACTCTTGTTGCTAAATAAGCATCTAAGATTCTTAGACAAAGATCAATGATGTGTTGTGTGACATGTTTACCACCAGTACTGTCCGACCACGTACTTTGTTCAAAGGTAGCATGTGGCAAGACTGAGATATTTTTCTATATGTTCTTTTCAGTGGGAGAAGAAAGTCTTTACACACTCTTTACATACATAAAGTCTTTACATACATAACTTGAATACAGTAGTCACTTGTTTATAAAAATCACAGAAATAGTAGCTTAAGAAAATACTTGTTAAAAGAAGAGATTTCACTGTGTTTCTAGGAAGTTACGAAGAGATTATTTACAAGAGGTTAGGCCTTAGGAACACTTAAAACAGATGTTTAAGAGTATATAAATTGCATGAAACTTACACGCACAAAAAATGACTATTTTCATAAGCAAAATTTGTATTTCTGAATACATACGTTGGTGATATATTTTCAGAATTGCAGAATTTCCCTCTCTTCTTTCCACTCTCCACTACTTCTATTAAAGATTCCATAGTACTATGAAAAGACATTTAAAAAGTCCCCAGGGCAAAGTTTCCTAGGGTCTTTGAAATTCCGTCTTTTCCTACTTCTTTACCAATTTCTAACACCAACACTGTTCCTGTAGTTTCTCAGACAAGGCAAGAAAGAAAAATACCCTCTAGATATAATCTTTAGATTTTCTATTATACTTCTCAGGTTCCTTCTGGCTTTTGAAATGAACACACAAACTGAAACCTGCAGCTAGATTACCAACTGTATTTTAATTCAGTTGATCTTTCATCATGAAGAAGTAGATGCCTGATACTACTTTTGGCCATTATTACTTAAAAGAATCATGTTGAGGTGTGGCTTAATGAAGAAAATAACCTAAAATACTTTTTGGTTGGTCATTAGTCTGTTGCATGAGTTTTAATTTTACAGCAGGCACTGAAAAGCATTGCTTCAGGATCCTACCTCTGTGATAAAAAAAAGCAGAGGAAAAGAAGCTACAGCACCTGGCTTTTAAAAAACAATCAGTATCCTAAACTATGCTTTCATTTTTCCCCCCTTCTCAAGAAAATATATAATCCTTCTAAACTAGCATTTCCATAATTTTCATAGCAAAATCAAGCTGGATTTTAGGACACTTTTTCTTTTTCCTCATTGTTTTGGTTAGGCAATTAGACTTTTGGCCAAGGGTGAGCAAAGCTGTTCAGAGATAATGTGCCAAAATTAATATCAGTATACATATAGGGTCACACTACGGGTCATGGTGGCGAAACTTTTGAGTTAGTCTGTTTATTTCAATGGATCGCACAATGAAATCAAATGTTGCTCCACTAGCTACTTCTTTAGTTAAAAGATATGTGACACAAGAGCATTTTTCACCATCTGGACTAGGGATATTAGGTCAATTTGTGTCTCCTGCTTATACTTTTCTTTTTCCTTTATTTTTGTTCCTCTGTTATCCTTGGCTCTTCCTCCACCACCTTTAGGACTATTATTGCTGTGCAGAACCATGGCAAGAAAACACCAGAACACTTAAAGCAAGTCCAGCCAAAAGTCACTCCACAAGTTAGTCCCTAGAAAGTACTGAATGCCAATATGAAGAATTCCCTGGCATCAGAATCTGAAAATCTGCTTAGCACCAGCATCTCTTATTTCCAGAAACAGGAACCTTGAACTTTTCCATACATTTGAGCTCGCTGCAGACCAAGGTGCTAGCAGTTGCTAAACTGCTCTGTTGCACGTTAATTGCTCAGAATGCAGTGGAAAAATTTAACACTTTCCAACACTCCTCTCCTTATCTTTTCTTACTGATGGCAATAAAAGTTCACTGAACCTATTGTCACAAGTCTCTATTGTACACAGTATCCCTATATTGCTTGCACCATTTTTAATAAGCATGCCTTGTTTCTGAAATGCTCTTACAAGTGCCAAGTTTGTCAACGGGTAAGAGGGCACTGTAGCCCTCTCTGACAATTAATACCCACAAAATGATTATAGATGTTGATACTTTATTTCTTAAAATACTTGTTGTATTCAACACATGCACTACTCTGGAGGACTTAAAACTCAGAGCAAAAAGATTTGTGGCAAAGCATATGACCTTCTTCCCACTACAATGGCCATCCCCTAATTAAGCAATGCATCTGATAGTCATTAACAGGAATGAGATAATGAATCACTTTCTCTCTTCTTTGTTAATTTGCTGTAACCAAGCGGCTAATGGATGTCAGAGCTGAGTGATTGCACTGATTATAGTGATTTATAGTTGCAACAAAACAATTTAAAACCATTCTGATTATTCATGTTAAAGATGCTTTATGTTTTGTTTACTAAATGTTTTATGTTCCCCCTCATGCCCCTCTACACACAACAAGAGAGGCCTTCCTGGAAAACTTGAAAGTTCTAAGATTTTTTATTGTTTCAGAATAAGGCATTTCATTTTGTTTATATATAAAAAAAAAGTTTACCCAGTAGAAATGAAAAGCCTTAGGGTGGAAAGAAAACTTCAGTGGTGCCTAGTTCAAAAGACGACGGAAATAAGAGGAAATAAGGCAAACTTCAAGCCACTTACCTTAGGGCTCCCAGTCCCTTCCTCATTCTCTGCAGACACATCAGTAGCCAGTATCTCTGCTTTGATGATATCCAGAGCCCTAAGAATCCAGCTGTGCTGCCGTTTGATTTGCCTCTGTAGTTCCTTCCATTGACTTGCAATCATCTGCAGCATGTCCTTCAGTCCTTCTCCAAAATGAAGGGAAAAAAGTAAAAGTTGTGAACTCAACTACCTTGTAAAATATTATTCTTTATTCAAAGGGATAGCAGGATATTTAAAGGAATAAACACAACCAAGAATTTCAATGCATTTTCTGAGAAATAAACCAAAGCATAACTACTGTTCGCACTGCAAACAACACTACAGGGTCACTGTAGCATTCTTCTATTAGCCATCATATTAAAGTTTAATTATGTCTCGACTGATGATTTCATAAAGTAAAATCCCACATAAATGATGATTCCAATACAACAGGAAAGCTCTGGTAATCCCACCCTCAAATGTCTCTGTTTCTAGACATATCATTAACTACCAACATAAATGTTTCTTTCCTCCAACTCCTATACTTATTATTTACATTACTAATTTCCAAATATAGGATGACAGGCACTACTCTTCCTTGTTAAAGCTTCTCTACCCTTTTGGAACCATACAAATAAGTCACTGATTTCCCACAGCTTTCACATTATTGAAGTATGTCTGACACTGTGAAACAACAGATGCAAAATGTATAATATGATCATAAAAATGTAAACCAAAGGACAACTTCGATGTGGATGAAATGCATGCTGAGTAGGCCAAAATTAAGATGGTTTTCCGTAGCAGTACAGCATGCTGATTAGAATCTTATTATCATACAAGTCACGCTAACATCTAAAAATATGGGGGTGGGGGAAAAGGAGAGAGGGAAATCAGTATCTCTCTCCCCCTCCTCTCGATTTAAGGCCTCTGCAGGAAAAGACAAGCAAAACGAAAGGAAAAACGTAATTTTAATTTTAATCTATTCCTCATAAATAAACTAATTCTTACCTTAATTTTAATGTAAGTGGCAAAATAAAGCTTTATTTTGCCCATATAGGACATGTAAAAAATATAGATGTATGTATTTGAAATCCTAATTCATTATCTTAATGTTATTTCCATAGCACCTACATCAAAGAATATGTCAGTGTGAAGTTTTCAGCGATGTGATTTCAATTGAAACTCAGCTGAGCAGCAAGCCCAAAATAAAATGAACAGACTATTTGCAGGCAGTATTTCATTTTACAAGTATCACTGCATTGTATGCAGTATATGAAACATTTATAAATCTTGAAGGTCAATCTGATAATGTAAATATTAATAATACATAAGGAAGTGAATATATGCAGTAATTTACAGCAATGCTTCTTCATTCTTTAATAGTCTGGAGACATAAAGACTTGCAATATTTCAGAGGGATTTACCTGATTTGTGAGATACAATAAGCTCAAGAAGTTGACGTCCTTCTTCCACCACAGCTTCTTTCAAAGCACAGTGGCTATCTACGTTCAACTTAAAACTCTGCAGGAAAGGAAAAAAGGAAAAAAAAAAAGGAAAAAAAATCAGCATCAGACATCAGAGAGGCAGTTAAGCATAAAACACATGTATAAAATTACTTGCTGCTTTTTTTTTTTTTTTTTTTTAAATCAACAACCTCGTCCTCATTCATCCAATAGCCAAACTAATCTGCAATACTAAAAGCTACTGATATTTTGAATGTGGGCTCAAAATGTTTCCATTAGATCAGCAAAGTGCATCTGTGTTGAAACAGCTGACAAATCTAGAAATTCATTAGGTTTTATGAAAAGTCACAACCCGCAGGCTATATCTGGGGTAACAGTGTTCTATAAAATACACTAAATTTATGCCATCACATATGAGCTGTTTTTTTTTCAGATTTCTTTGAAATGTTGGTGATAGCACTATTTATGAAACCATAAAGAAATTACAGCATTGAATATATTGGCCTTATGTGCACTCAGACAGATCTATTAATATAGTGTTTGAGAGTTAATTCCCATACCCATTTTCAAAGTACGAATCAAGCTACTTTACATTTCCTCATCCTCAATTTGTAAAAATAAGTATTTTTCATCATTTTTGCACTAATGTTTTTACTACTTTACATGGGCTGTCTACTTTAAAGGTGATTAAATGTTCGTTTCAAATAAACGGGGGGATTTGGGGGGGTTTTTTGTTTGTTTGGGGTTTTATTTTGTTTGTTTGTTCTTTTAACAAATTACATTACAAAGTGGTAACAGAGAAACCAGAAGAATGTTCTACTATAACTGCTGCTAATTTAGCTGGATAAATTTGAGAATTATTTGCCAGAAATTCTCTCTTGCATATAAGGAAGAGAAACAAAATAAAACAGAGGAAGAGGTACTTGTTATACCTGACCATAATTCATGTGCAGCCCGAACACACACATGCAACTCTCATTCTCCTTCAAATGTCTGTGGAAGGAATGACAACAATATCCAACCCCCTGGAATAAAGGGGTTTTGCTTCTCTTGGAAGTGTATTAACTGGCAGAGATTAAAGGGGACTTTGCTAGTGCGCATTTGTAGCTTTTTGGTTTTACAGAAATGACTTGTACTTCTCTAAATACTGCTGCCTACTCCAGTGCTTAAGGAGCAGACTTCACAAAATACTTAAAAGCTCTCATTTCTCAGGAAGCCACCACTTCCTTTCCTTTTCAATTCCTCCAGTCAAACTGAATGACATAAAAGAAAACAACTGTAATAGAAGGATATTATTCTACTGGTTTTGTCGTAGCTGAAAGGCACATTGCTCAGACGCCTACAGTCTTGCAGGCAGAATGGTACCTGACATTTCGTGACAGAGTGTTTTTGAAAATTCTGCATACAAATAAAGAGTAATAAAGGGGAATTTTGCTATCTTCAGCATTTTGTCTAGCCCAATTTTCCCCATCTGGGCATCTGAATACAACATTCTGTATCAGCTATTGAGCAAGCAAAGGTTTAACAGAACAGAAAGGAAGAACACCTTGAAATTGCAACTGAATTGGCCAAGAGAATTTCAAATAAGGGGAGAAAAAAGCAGCTCAGCCTGGCCCTTCCTTAAATCTAGAGTCCTATGAACCCAATTCTAGTTCTTTCTCCTTCATAAGCACAAGTCTGAGCAAGCATTGACAATATTTAATTTACTGTTTACTTAAAACAGGCTTGTAGTGAATAGTTTGTAATCATGCACTTCACAGGAAATGCACCATGCGTGTGCCTCACGCAGCAGAAGAGAACCTAAAGGACCTGAGAGTAGGGTGTGTAATTTCATGTAATTGAAGTTGAGTATAGATGCAGCTGGATGTGGCAATGTCTCAAGATGATGTGGATGTATTTGATAGGAAAATTGGAAAAGATGAGGTATTCTTCTTCATTAGGAAAAAAAGAGACTTACTGTCCTAGAAAAGATTCATTTAACGTAACGCACCACATACTACAATATAGCTTGATTTTCAGGTGCACCTATTAACCAGTAATAATGTTAACTGAAGAAGTAAAATATGATGAATAAAGATGGGAACCAAACTTTTGGGTTTTGACAAGCAATATTCTACTTGTGCAAAATTCTGATTTCATAGTTAAATTATGCATGGCACAAACACCGTGAACATGCATGAAATTTTGCAGAAATAAACTCCTATCAACGCATGGGCAGCAAAAGGAGGGAACCATTCATACAGAAGTATAAAAACAGAAGTGAAGGAAATTGTCAGATGTGTAACTGAAGTACGAGTTTGGGTATTAGAGTTATATATTATTTTTGAATGAGTGGCATTTTCCTAAGAACAAGGAATAAAAAGACAAGGCACACTGAGAAGAACAGCCCTCAGCCAGTGCAAGGCAAAGCCCACAGTTGCTCACAGCCCTGTGACTGAAAATGACACAAATAAAAAATCACAGTTTAAAATGTAATAGGCATAGCACATATGTGGAATGGAGAGATACGAATTTGCACAGCTAAGGACAAAATTAGAGCAAAGATCCATAATGGAGGAGGACCTTCAAGCACGGAGAGGCTCTGTCGTTTACACATTTTCCACAGCCCACTGCCTACTTCTGGCCTTTGGAAATCTGTAAGTTTAAAAGCGTGTGACCCTGGAACTCTGTTTCCCTCCTCCCCCTCTACTCTGATAGCAAGCGAAGCCTTTGCATCTGGAGAGAGGAAAGGAGAAAAAGAAGTCAATCAAAGCCATTTTTCCCAATGCATTTGCAGCTATGGAGCTGACTAAATATCACAACTGAGCACATATATTTTATGGAAAATGCATGTGCATTGGCCTGACAGCCAGTTTTCAACAACACATTAATGTCATCCCTAGCTCCACAGTCTATATAATACACTTTATCACCTACTACAAGAATGTATTTCCTTGTGAAGCTCTCCGCCTACTTTTTGCTGTCACCATGTAAATAAATATCAACTGTTCTTGTTTAGCAACACAAGAGAAGCCAGGATTAAGCACTTTTATTAAGGCTACAGGACCCCAGACAGGAGAACCTCCAAAGTAGGTTAGTACTAAGCTCAAGGAGAACTAACTCCTACTGACTGTATGGGCTAAAGGGGGCCCAGCCAGCTCCAAACGAAGCCACGTGTCCCCAACCTTTTAGGAAACCAATGAATCCATTAGACCGCAGTACTCCAGAACCTCCACAAGAAAAACAGCAGCACCTACCTACCTATATTGGGCTCTGAACATGCAAAACTTTTTTTTTTTGTATACCCTTGGAAGAACAGAGATGTATTAAAGAAGAACAGAGAGTATTAAAAAAAAAAAAAAACAGCATATCCAGACTTCTGCCTAACAGCTTATTCATCTGTACAATGGGTAAAACAAAAAAAAATGATTTAATTTCCCCTGAGGATTTTTTTATAACTACAGTTAAATTTACATTGTACAGATATTTTGAAATATGTATAGATTAATCTCTGATACAAAATCTTTCTCTTATGACCCTCTGTTCTTAATAAAATATCAGAATTTTGTAAAACAGAACCTAGGTCTTGACTTATTCATATCACCAGCAAGGACAGGCAACCATTACATATTTTTGTTTCTGCAGGTACACAGACTTTGTATAAGTATTTTCTTTTTAATTTGAGATGTGTCTAAATAAATATTTCCAGTATACTGTTCATCTCTGAAAGACAAATAAACAACTAGGAATCATAGTGGACCTACAACGTATAAACAGATATAAATTGGTTTAAATGACACAGCAGTTCACACCTATTGCCAGACTAAGATACTGTACTAAAAGTAGTTTCTGAATTTTCAATTTTCCCAGGAACTGAGTGAGTTCCTGTGGTACTCTTGAGGTCAATGTCCTGATTTGAGTTCATTTTTGATGCACTTAAGTAGTTCTGAGAAAAGTATCACTATTTCCAAAGCATATATCTTTAGAGTAATGATGTGGACAGTTAAAATTATCTACGCGACCTATGATATTTAGTATTTGGAATGGAAAGTCTAATTTAGAATTTTCTAATAGTCACTTGCACTTTTCAGATAAAACCCAACAGTACTGTAACACAGATTTCTATATTTAAGTTTAATATACATTTTGGCTAAGTATGTAGCCCTTTTAAAGGCGTTTGTGGCAATGCCTGTGCAGTGCAAACTGCCACACTGACACCAATTTTGGAGAATGAACTAATATATATGGGTGTGTAATCTTTGTAACAGACCTTTGCAGATAATTTGGCACTGCTTAGTGCAAAAATGATTCCAGCACTACACATTTCTAAGGACTCTTAAGATATTTATTATTATAGGTTTTCTGTTCATATTTGGATCGTAAACTGTGAAGTAAACCTGAGCTATTCTATCTGATACAAACTGTGAATACGAAGCTATCTAAATACAAACTAAACTACCTTAGGGCAACAGAAAGAACTATTTGAACAACAGCATGTTACAATAAAAATGTAGTATAGCTCTAAAATATGATGCTGAGAAAGTTTCAATTGTGTATGAACAGCAGAACATTTCTGTTAACACTTTGCATTACAAGTATTAAATGTCCCTTCATAAAGCTGTGTAGGTCTTGCTGATTCACCATGGCAGATAAAATTCAAACACTATCATTTCCGATCTGCTACAAAGTAGTGCATATTACACATTACATTAACGAATACATTACCAAACTGTATTTGACTTTTTACCAATTGAGATATACTTTGCTTGGGAAATATTCAGGTATTCCATCAGGCTTAGAAATCATAGTGCTTCTTTTTGCAGGTATTTCACTACTGTAATTTTCACACTGTCTCTGCTTTTTACATGGTTTAACATTGTTTTATACAGTTAACAAAAAAATGTTACTTTGAGGCTTTGCAAATTAAGCCTCAGTATATTTATTATCATTTGCGATCCTAGCCTTATATTCTTCTAATGATTTCCAATCTCAGATTTTTTTAAATACATTTCATATCATACTCAAAAACAAATTACATGTTGATCATACTAGCATACTAAAACTTCAAGCAATACCACC